ACATATATATATATAGTGAAAGATTTCCTATATCATGTGGAATCTACTCTATGTGAATATTCTTAGATATACTAAACTATTTTTTCAATATTCAAACCATATTGCACTCTTACAGTTGATAGAATTTCTCATTTTAAACCCTGTTGTTGCTGGGGATGCAAAGGATAGTCACACAGCAGTAATGTAGTTTTGCCAAAGAGTAGAGCGCACTGAGATGTGGCACTGTGTGCGGAACTACAACTACAACTACAACTACAGCTTTTCCTATCCATGTCCCAATGTAACCTTCTCCTCTAAAAAACCTCTTTCCAAAATCTGAAGCCATACATCCATCAGTGTGAATTTTTACACAAGTTTTGTTACTCAGATTGGCGTGTTAATGGAATTTCATCGCACATTTTTGTTTTTCTTTTTCTTTTGACAAGGGTTTTGCTATGTAGGCCTATTCTCGATCCTTCTGCCTCATCCATGTGAGTTCTGGGATTACAGACATGCAACACTGTGCCCGAGTTTCATGGCAGCTTTAATCTCCCTTCTCCTGACTACTACTGAGATTGGGCATCTTTGCTTATATTTACAAAACAGAAACACAAAAACATTTATGTTTTCTCAAGTACTATTTCAAGTCTTCTGCTCCTCTTTCTAGTGGCCTAGTGTTTCATAGACAGTTTTGTCTGTCTAGCTTTTATTTTTATGTGGTTCATATATTGCGACCATCTTCTCCCAGTATGTAACTTGGTTTTTTTTCCACTTTCTTTTTAATATCTCTTGGTGATTGGAAGCATTTTATTTTCTCAACTCATATTATCCCTTTTGGTTTTCATGCTTTTGCTTATTATCGTGCTGTTCTCATTTTTTAAATTTATTTCCTGATCTTCTTTAGAGCTTCCAAAGTTAATACTTTCTATGATTATCTATATTTGAATAGAAACAGTTCTGTTTGGACTTTGTATTTGTTTAACAGTAGGAGCAGATCTCTTTGTTCTTTATGTCAGTTGCTGGGTTGCAGTTTTAAATAGTCCCAAAGAACTTGAATTACATAGCTGAATGTGATTGTAATGAGTTAGGGCATAAATCAGTCTTGAGTTCATCATTTGCCTGCTGATATTTTCATGCTGCATTGCATGGGTCTTCTTTGGGTTATTTGCTCTGTGTGTGTGTGTGTGTGTGTGTGTGTGTGTTTTGAAAGTTGGGCCTGCTTGATTTTCCACTGATTCTTTTTTTTTTTTTGAGACAGGGTCTTACTGTGTAATTGAGACTGACCTGGAACAACAATTCATTATGTAGCCCAGGCTGGTCTCAAACCCACAGCAATCCTCCTGTCTCAGCTTCCGAAGTGCTGGGATTAAAGGTGTGCCCCACCATGCCTGGCTGTTTGTTTTATTTTATGTAACTAGATCAGGCGGGAAAGGGTGGTCCCAGTTAATGAATCTGAGTTGTTTCACAGTAAAGCCTGTGCTCACAGCCTGTTTCACTGGTTCAGTGTTGACCTGTGTTGTGTTCGTTTTGATTAGCAGTCACAAGGCTGATTGTGATTGCCTCTTTCCTCGCTGTCTCCTGTCCTCTATCCTTATTGCCACTACACCATGTTTTCCTGAGTAAAGTCTGAACGGCTCCAGTATCCTTCTAACAGACCCCCATTCCCATTTCCAGCATTTTAACAGTTTAGTTTGCCACCAGTTCTAACAATCACAGAAAGGATATGTGGGAAAGGATGCTTTCTCTGTGAAACTTTATAATCTGCTTAAAGTTTAAGGAGGAAATGCCTTTAGATTGCATAATCCTTCCTCAGGAGGTACTTTCCAAGTGTGTTCTGGTACTTTCAGTTTCATATATGTCTATTCATTGAGGCTAATTTTCATATATCACTTTATTCGTTCCCAAAGGATAAATTTTTATATATCATCTTACTTCTTCCTCGTAATATAT